AAAAAAACGCCCCCAAGATATTAGACAAATCTTCTCGACTTTATTTTGTAAGAAGAAAGCGGATGTTACCATGTACAGATATTAGATTATGGTATATTGGCTGATATATCATAATGGCTATGCCAATAAAAAGTCTTGAATTACATTATCCAATGATCCAGTTTTTAATAATCGAATTTACTTTCTTTCATTGAACAAAAAAGAAAAAATTGTTTAATATAAGAGGACAAAAATCCAATGATTGCCGAGTTTATATCGACAAAAAACGGTCAAACCCTTACCCATGCTTTCAAATGAAGCTCCAGTTCAGCATGATTTCCTTATATATTTTTTTCTTCTTTCATATCTAGGAGAAGAGAAGAAGCAAAGAAACATTTAAATATGCTCCGCGATTCGCTAAAAAGTAAGCCTTACCCTCGCGTAATGGCGTTTGACGTGGAAACCTATGAATACGACAAAGTTACCGTCCTTGAAGTTGGCTACGTCATCGCAAAAATTGACAAGCCGGAAGAGCAGGAGACGTTCCATTACATTATCGAGGAGAATCTCCACTTTTCAAACAAAGATTTTGTCCCTGACAACCGGGAGCGATTCAAGTTTGGTACCTCAAAGCGTGTGTCTCTTGTGGAGGCTGCAGAAAAGTTCCAGAAGCATATCGCGGACATAGATTTCTTGGTGACCCACGCTGGCCATAATGATGAACAGTACCTTGCAGGATGTGGAATATCTTTAACAGGAAAAGAGATATTTGATACGCAGATGCTGGCAATGGCTTTGCTGACTGGTGGTCCTCAGACTTACAGCCTCAAACGATTGCTGGGTGACCTGGCGATCGAGTATGACGAAGAAGTTTTACACAACGCAGGGAATGATGCAGTTTACACATTGAAGGCGTTCCTCGGTCTCTACAAAAAGAATTAGCCTTCAAACTTTTCCAGCTTCATAACAACTTAGCTTCGTACTGTACATTGAACTATGCAGCGAACCGATTGCAAATTTGAATCAGAAATTATTGCGATGAGTTTCGCACAAAAATGTATACAGCTACACTGAATTAGTATGACTAAGCACGGTCTATCTTAGCCCTTCTCAAATACTTTGCTTAGCATTCCAAGAACTGAAGTCAGTTCTACCCAAGATTTTCAAATATTGAGAATGGATCTCAATCTGAAATTCAGGCATTTCAAAACTTTGCATGAAGTAAATTTTATTCGTGGATATTTGCACTTGCTGATTGCACTTCGATAACAAATCGGTGTTAAACGAACTAGTTTTAACGCTACAAGCACAATTTTTAAGAAATCGTAGTTTTACTTTTCAAAGGTATCCAGATTTTGGGAAAAAATGTAAGGGTTTCATTTGCCTGAAAGCAACGGGTTGGGTTATTAGTTTCTTAGGTAACTGCTGCACTGCGTCATGGGCAAGTGAAAATGTTGGTCGTCTACTATTAAAAAAATTACAAAATAAAAACAAAGAGATACTTGCCAGATTTGATCAATTTGCGCATGCCTTGCACTTAACCGCTACATTACTTCATAACGTGTGACAATTCTCGGAAACTAATCGCGACGTGGTCACGAGGATCTCAACAGCCAGTAAGCGCTTGTGTCACTTTCACTCAGTATAAAAGGTGTTGTATATTGAGAATATTTTGCGCCTTCTTGGCTTAGATAAGTTGATGACAACCGATAAATGTCTTTAAACTATGATTATAGGTTGTACAAAATGAAATGATACGTCGTCCTTCCCTGCGACATAACTCCTTTCAGCCAAACTTGATATGGAAGAGACCGCTTTCCCTTCGCCTAAAAACTACTGACTAAAGCAGAAAAGCTAATTGTAGAAGTTGACCGCTCTTGAAACGTCACGATTCAAGCCCCTCAGTAATTCATCAATAATTAACCGAAAAGTTTGTGTTCATTGGTGGAAATAGATATCAAGGGTTTTAATTGGTAGATTACTCTAATGACAGCTAGTATATGGCTCGGATAGTCATACCTTTTATTGCTATTTCCAGCACTGAGGCTCATCCGTTTGGAAACGCCATACTTGTGCATATTCCATACATCATTTTCTTTAAGCCATGGCCAGTAGAAACGAAAAATCACCCGGCGACAGAAGGTACGGTCGCTATTACAAGTACGAATCTATTCGCTTTGAGTGGAGAAAGTTCTTCGAAGAGAACCACCCCCGACAAAGGCACACGGCAGAAGATTTCTTCAATAACTTCTTTCGCAATCACCGTGGTTTTCAGTTCGTGATAGCTGAGATTTTCGATGGGACAACTCACCCTCTTGTGTCCGCGGAGAAATTTGCCGACTTGAAAAATGAACTGGAGAGGAAAACTGGTCAAAGTTTGCCCGGAGTCTCCAACACCTCTGATGTAAAGATAAAGGAGGAGCGACGATCCTTTTCTGATTTACACTCCTACATCAATTATTCCAAGTCCCTCAGAGTTGCGAATGACCGAGTAAAAGTCAGGTAAGCGGTCTTAATGTGAGTTAGTTCAAGATAACCTTGTCCCTTGTAATTTTAACTGATTCCACCGCTCACCATCTTTGAAGTTCCTACTGAAATTTGCCCGAACAGCTCACATGGGTGGATGTGATGACTCAACAAAAATTTGAAATTAGAGAGAACCAGATATTTCATGTCAGGCCTCTCTTTGATTCGATTAAACATTTGTCATGTAGATATTTCTTTTTCTCTTCGTTCGGTTTGCTTGTCACGGCCAGATTATATTTGTTCTTTTTAACAAATTTAATTTAGAAGCTCTAATATTTATCTCTTTAAATCACATGATTTGCAGTCTCGCCACATCTTTCGCTTTCTAGGGATCAAGAAAGCTTTCCAGATGAAATACTGTGACATTTGTACACTAGTTCCTCAACTGATAATATCGCCAGTTTTCTTCTCAGTTGGTATTTTAGTTCTTTTAGTCGCCAAATCTATAAATAATTTCTAGAAAGTGCTTGGTAGATAAGCATCGAATATGATTACATAGGCCACAAATATATACGGCACGCCTGTTTTCTTGGGACTAGACATGTGAATAGACATAGCAAATATCTATTTTGATTATGAAAATTCAACATGGCAAGCAGTGTTTTCAGATTAGCGATGAAAATTCTTGACGATTTATAAGATAATTTAAAGAACAAATCGAATTTTCAGGGCTGATCATGGTTAACTTCATTACTCAGTTAAAGGCAAGCTGGTTTGTCTTCGGTTAGAGTTGGGGTAGGATGTGTATATGATGAAAGTCACCATTTCTTAGAAAGTTCGAAGCATATTTCTGTTTAGTATGGTTCGATACTTTCTTGGAAAACTGATTAATATTTTAGTGTTGATTGGTGTTCTAAGAAAGCCTTATAGACACGATTTTCTTAGAAAGTGGCATTGGCTAATTAGCCATTCACGACCGACGACAGGATGTTTATAAACTTTAAGATAAATTTCGCCAAATGTTCTTCAACAAACAGTATCGGTCATTGTTGCATCATATTTTGAGTCAATATACTTTGTAGAAAAGTGCCTTAAAATTAAAACGAATCCTCTTTACAATACCTTTTTTTAAGTATTCAAACATAAAGGAGCGAACAAAAGGATATTAGGGTAAGCGATGGTGGAGATTGACACATGGATTGTCGTTGAAAGACGTACTTGTCACAGTTTTGGAATTTACTGTAAAGCAATTCCTGGTGTGATTCTGATTTCTATTTAGAAAACCACCCGCCGCTTTACTCCTGACTGGAAATAAAGGATTTTCTTCTTGTGAATTGAAATACAAATTTTAGCAGCGTTTTAAAGAAAATTGATACGATTAATAAACAATTATATTTGCAGACTTTCTTATTTTGATACCAGTAATCTCAATAAATTAACTGTCTTCTCAAGTTATCGTTGTCTCGTTGCAGGAGAAGGGAAGATGCAGAGAAAAGTGTTCAGGAACTCCGTTATTTTCTGCTGAGGAAACCTAATGCTCGGGCAATGGCGATTGACATCGAAACATACGAAAACGACCACAGCAAAATTCTCGAATTTGGCTTCGTCATCACTTCGTTAGCTAGTCCTGAAGGGGACGAGCAAGCATATCATTTTATCATTAAAGAAAACCTCCACATGGTGAACAGGGATTACATTTCTGACAACCGAGATAGGTTCAGTTTTGGCACCTCACAGCGGATGTCTCTTGCAGAGGCCGCTGGAAAGTTCTCACAGCATATCAGGGACGTAGATGTGTTGGTGACTCACTCGGGCGTACACGATGAAGATTACCTTGCCAGGAACGGCATGTCCTTACAAGGGAAACAAATGTTCGATACTCAGCTTCTTGGCTTAGCACTGCTTACTGACGAGGGCAACTTGAACGTGTTTGGCCTGAAGCGCCTTATGGATGACCTGGAAATTTCGTACGACGAGGATATTCTCCATAATGCTGGAAATGACGCTCACTACACCATGAAAGTGTTCTTGGCATTGTCAAAGAAAATGTAAGAGAATTCAAGGAGCGAAGTGAGTTTCAGAACGTAGGCAGTTTTAGACTGATCAAGAAGGAAAAAAAACAGCAAAGAATATAATTTCAAATTATGTATGTTGCATGATCAGATACAGCACATTTTCCATTTCAGTGTTACGCCAAACTTTTTAGCAACATCGAAGTGAATTTTCTTCTTCTATCGCGTTAACCCTTCCTCGGTAAGAACGCGAGGCAGACATTCTGAAATTCAGCACACCTTTTATAATCACCTCGCGCGAGGCGGATTATAACGATATATGGCGCAATCCTCGACCAATCAGACCAGGAGAATCTTTATAATCACTTGAGCAATTATACTATAAAAACAGTTGTTATGTTTCTTAAAGCTTATGTACTTCAGTAAGAGAAACTGTACACCACTTATGATCGCATTCCTAGAGTTCTCAATGGGAAGTGCGTTCCGCCAGACCAGAGAAACGGGGGCTAATCTGAGACCGATTTCCTTTGTCTCCGGGACATAAAAAAAGCAGACAACGCGATAATATGGGGCGCATAGAACATGCCACGTCAGACTACTAATTTGTTGATAACTAAGCGAATGATCAGTGTTCATTGGTAGAAAAAGTAAACAAGAGTTATCATTGGTGGGTTATTTCGGAAGCGGTAAGTATATTGGCTGAGGTAATCATCCCTTTTTGTTCCAGCTCTGATTCAATCGTGAACACCGTGGCTGTTTCAGAGTTGTTTTAAACCCTTAAGTTATTTTCTTCAGCCATGGCCAACAGAAACGTAAAATTACCCGGCGACAGAGGATATGGTCGCTATCACAAGTATGAATCTATTCGTATTGAGTGGACAAAGTTTTTCGAAGGGAACTCTGAACAAAGGCCAATCGTAGCAGGTTTCTTCAAGAACTTTCACCGCGATCATCTTGGTTTTAAGTTCGTGATAGCTGAAGATTTTGATGGGACAACTCACCCTCTTGTGTCCGCGGAAAAATACGTCGAAATCAAAAAAGAATTGGAAGAGAAAACCGGTCAGACCTTACCGAAAGTGTCCAACACCTCAGATGTGAAGATAAAGGAGGAAGGCCGATCATTTCCCGATTTACAAACTTACGTTAAATATATTAAGGCCCTCAAGCCTGAGAACGATCAAATAAAAGTCAGGTAGGGGTTTTTATGTGATTCTGCCATTCAATAACTTTTTATCTTGGCCTTTAAGCCTGTTTGGGCTTCTCTCGGTTGACTAAACAGCTTGCAATGAATGTTGTAGATGATTCAGCAAAAATTTTGAAAACAAGGTATATTTCTCGTGTCGTTTGAAAATTGGTTCTGTTAGCCCCGCCTTATTTTTACTCTTGGTTTTCTCTCGATACTACATGAATTTTTGCACAGATGCAATTTATAGTCGTATAGCGCGGGTTCGATCCCACGTGTCGTTTGCTAGTTTCTTTCGACCAGCTTTCCAGTTGAAATGCAACCACATTTTCTTCTCCAAGTGATAACATTGCTAGTAGCAATTCCTCTACAACCCTGGGCTAATCTTCCTCTCAGGTGCGTAAACATCACAAGCATGTACAAGAAGGATGCTTAAAAACCTTCAACTCTGTAAATAAGAATCAAAAGAGATTTCTTATGACATAAAACTGTAAAAACGAACGATAAATGAATCGGACGTTTCGGAGTAGTCATGACTCCATTATCAAGGAAAATATAAAAGATCATGCAAATTGCAACATATAAAGCGTTTTTGGCGCGAAGAATCATGAACGTAAGAGGGTGCGAAGATCATAAAAATATTATAAAAATATTTTCGCACGAATAGAGTCTGATTGTACGTTGAGATTTGGCCTTAACGCTCTCATAAAAAGCATTTCGTACACTAAGCAGTCAAATTTGTTTCTGCATTTCTTAAGCACTTCGAAACGCTTTAGCAGGCCAAAACATCAGTATTCTTGTTAATTCTACCATCAAAAGCTTCGTTGACTCCAAAATTTGCGACCAACAGCAGCCTTTATCGCCATCTCAAGAGACAGACGACACGATTCGAGTGGTTTTAGATGATTTAAAGATCAAATCTCAGCAGATACAGTTGTGAGGAAACAACTTAAGGATCTAGCCTAAAAGTAAATACCACCATCCAGCCTGTGTTTGTCAGGCGGAAAACTGAACAAGAATTAAATGTGAAGGAATCAAAGCCACCAATTGTAAATCAGGAGTGTCTTGTCTACGGTTTTCGTTGTGACCTGTGTGATGCGGGTTATGTAGATTACACACGCGGACATTTACATAATCGTGTAAAAGGACGTAAACAACAATCCTCCGCCATTGTCAAACGCCATAAGAACATGCACGGGAAAATGCCGCAGGGCCTGCTAAAGCGTTTCGAAGTGCTTAAGAAATGCAGAAACAAATTTGACTGCCTACTGTACGAAATGCTTTTTATAAGAGCGTTAAGGCCAAATCTCAACGTACAATCAGACTCCATTTGTGCGAAAATATTCAGTTTATAATATTTTTATGATCTACGCACCCTCTTACGTTAATTCTTCGCGCCAAAAACGCTTTATATGTTGCAATTTGCATGATCTTTTATATTTTCCTTGATAATGGAGTCATGACTACTCCGAAACGTGGGATTTTATCGTTCGTTTTTACATTTTTATGTCTGTAAATAAGAAGAGAACTACTATCATGTTTTCTGAAAAAATGCAGTTGGGTTGTTTTCTTGGAACAAGACCAAAAAAATGTATTTTGATGGTTAAAAGCAGTCTGCGTGAAATATATTTTCACAGGAATGATGAAAATTGTTAACGGTTTATACTGAGCTAGATAGGCTTCAAAAAGTTAAGCAAAAGCCGTTCAAAAAGGACCGAGCAGTTGAAATTACTACTTTGATAAAAAAAATAACATTGATTGTTCATTTAATCAATGAAAATTTTATCACCTGCCTGAATTTTTGAAGCATATACTTTACCTCCTTTCTTAGAAAAGTCGGGAGGGTATTTCCGCTCAGTAATCATGGCTTTCTTGGAAAACCATTAATTTTTCATCTGGTTTTGGTGGTTCCTGGGTGTGCCTCATCAAAGCAGATTTCCCAGAAAGCGTTAATATTTAATATTATGCACGACGTAACGATCAATATCCTTTCAACGGAAAAATGTCTCTAGAGTTGCCTTATCCAACCAGCATGAGTCAGTGTCACTCGTTACTCACATTTTGATTCATTCAGCGTTGCAAAATATCGCCGTGATATCATAAGAATCGCCAAACATGTTAGGATAGGCAAACACAGAGGAACAAATTAAAGGGAACGAGAATGGCTAGCTCTGGCGGAAATTAAGCAACCTTAAGTCAAACTTGCCACAGTTCTGAAAATCCCTGTGAAGTATCTCTACCGAAGTAAATTCATTCTTTTTGGAAACAATGAGTACTTTCATTCCTCAAAGGAGAAAAGAAATGTTCTTTCAGCAAATATAATTTGTTTTAGCGATTTACAATTTGATTCAATAGATAAACGTGAGCCGAAATTTCATTCATACTGTCTTCTTATCATTGTCTCATTGCAGGAGGAGGGAAGATGCAAAGAAAAGTGTCGGTGAACTCCGTACTTTCCTGTCAAGCAATCCCAATGCTCGAGCAATGGCTTTTGACATAGAAACATACGAAAACGACCACAGCAAAATTCTCGAAATTGGCTTCGTCATCACTTCCCTGGCCTCTCCTGAAGGGAACGAGGAAACATATCATTTTATCATCAAAGAAAACCTCCACATGGTGAACAGGGATTACGTTCCTGACAACCGAGAGAAGTTCAGCTTTGGCGACTCGGAGCACATGTCCCTTGCAGAGGCTACTAAAAAGTTCTCGCAGTATATCAGGAACGTAGATGTGCTGGTGACTCACTCAGGCGGTCACGATAAGGAATACCTTGAGAGTAACGGTATGTCTCTGGAAGGGAAACCAATGTTCGACACTCAGCTTCTTGGCCTGGCACTGCTGACTGACGAGAACTTCTTGAACGTGTTTGGCCTGAAGCGCCTGATGGGTGACCTGAAGATTTCGTATGACGAGGACATTCTCCATAACGCTGGAAATGACGCTCACTACACTATGCAAGTGTTCCTGGCATTGACAAAGAAAGTGTGATGAGAAGGCCACGAATGAAATGATTTTCAGATCTTCAGAAATTTAAAACTGATCAAGAACATGCAGCAAAGGACAAATTTTGTTGAGTTATGCAGGCTGCATAACTCAAACATTTGAACTTAAGCTAATAGGATCGGTTACTTATCTTTACTTCATTTTTTGTCTTTAATATGATTTCAATGGCAGTAGTGTTGTAGTCTGATCGGTCATTTCATACGATAAACAAGAGAGATTGCTATAATCTGATTGCTATGATCTGCTCAAGAGAGGTTGCAATCGAGTTTTCCTTATGTGAACACCCTTGATGCAGGAAAAAGTAGTTTCTAAAGGGAGGTGGTCTATCAAAGAAGCATAAACTGATTGAAATCATTGATTCTTACCCTTTCCTCTGCGAACACGTTTTCCATATCTTTCATATTATAGTTCGTCACTCGCTTAATCGATGTTAGCTTTTACGATAAGTACCTTCGTCAACCTCATTCCCAGGGTCTCATCTTCCCTCCCTCCCGAAGCGAGAGACCCTGAGAACGAGATTGCACTTGGGTTCCTTAATAAATTAAATGAAAAATCGATTTACAGATAAAAAAAAACAAAAGCAATCACACAATAGGAAAACTTTCTATCGATTTTACTCTTTAAAATAACTCGCCTTGACGAGTACAGCTGAGAAAGACACTGCACTTGACACTGAGCTAATTATGTTTTGTTTGGCAATGTCTCTAACACGTGTAGGTAAAGAGTATATCACATGGGCATAACTAATAAAACTGAGTCTGTATTTCACTGAAGATTATGATATTTACCTGTTCCCTGGGAGGAATACAAACCCTGTATCACCTTAAGATGGCTGACAGGTATTTGGTACCGTTCTCCAGTTGTTGCACGAGGGTAAGATGCAATGAGGATCAGTAATTTCTAACGCGTTCTGTGCGACACTGAAAGATTTCATTGTATGCAACAAAGTGACCCATGTTGAAACTCTGGGCTGTAGCCTGGATTTTACATAAGAGAGAGGGGGGAGGGTAAAACTGTATCATTGGCAGTTAGGATTACATAAGATCACTTTTTTCTTACAAAGACAGGTGGAGAGATCACATTCATACTTAGTCCACTCCCCCCTCCCCCCCTACCATCCTGTACAACAAAACCAGGAAGAAAATGAATGAAAACTTACTTCATTCAGATGGTTGGTATTAAGAATTCATGTTCTTGGATCTAACGTTTTAAAAATCTTCACATGAGAAAAAGAAAGCACTGGAAACAACAACAACAACAAAATAGCCAATACTGAAAGACTTTGATATTTTATTATCAGTTTTCTTTACAAGTACACAGGAATACAAACAATGATATACAACGAACTAGACAGCAAAGGAAAAAAAACACATACTCCAGGAATTACTCATAGCCCCTGCAAATAGATTTTAGATTATTCACATTAGCAAAGGAAGAATATTCATTTTGACACCAGTCATCACAAATAATAATAAGTGTCTGCATTTAAAAATTGTTCACACTCACTTGACCATTGGAGCAATTTCCCAATTGGTTTGCGCACTGGTTGCAGGTTCAATCACAACACCATCACTTGTAATGACTGCAATTTCATACTGAAATCAAATGAACATCCATTTTAACTGCTTTGGCTTTGAATGCAAACTTAAAGTGACTCCTCGTAGATTCAACATTGTACAAAAAGTGATACAAACCTTGTTTAATGACCTGGCATCTCTGTAAAACAACACTTGCAGACATTTAGTGATCACTTGCCTTGCCTCTTCTAGAGACATACTGGGATTCTTTTCAAATGCACCACGAAGAATTGGCTGAAATAGGAAACCAATATTCAAAACTTAACGTTGACAACAATGTTCCTTCAAAACAAGAAAACAATGAAATTGGCTGGCTTTGCACTGGTACTGACGAGTGCAAGAAAATTCTGTACTCTTGATTGTTTATATTTTTTCATACCTCCAATTTGGCCTAAGAGGAATTACTGTATAATGGAACAACTCAATTTGAAGGAGGAGAAGAATATTAGTTTGATACATATGGTGCTGTAATCATTTCCATCAGAGGAACATGCAAGAGCCCTTTGGCAGTAGATGAATTTCACAGACTCTGAGTGAAAAGCTAACAAACAAGTTGAGAAACAGAGATGTTTGGAATTCAAATAAAGATACCAAGCTGAAGCAACATCCCCTGGCTAAAAAGAGGTGTAGTTAAATTAGACAACACAAAATTTATCACAAAGTAGTCTTTAATTTTATACTTTGATCATGCTACATAAAGATAACACACAGAGGTTGATCAGAAGCTTACGTCCTTTAACAGGAAACCAATTCATCAGACAATGACATACAGGTAGACTTTATCACTACAGGTAACTGCATTGTTCCAGAATATCATGAAGGTAACAATTAGATTAATAATTTCAAAAGACAATATTTTTTCTCACCTGAGCGAGATATGCACCAAACCCAGTGGCTATTGTGGGTGCTTCAAAAGCTATGCCAATCTTGTCAACACATCCCAGGAAACTGTTGAGCACACCAGAAAAATAACTTAGGTCACCATAGTGTTTACTCAAATGCCCTGACAGCGAGGTAGTAGGAGTAACTGCCACCTTAAATTCTTAATATTACCAAGCAACAAAACACATCACTGACTAATTTTGCATAGCTTTGTTGATTATTCTCATATTTTTACCCCAACCCATTAAGAGGGTAGGGGGTATTTTGTTACATTTTCTTGAATTCATGTCACCCATGATTAAACCCTGCAGAGAGAAGCAAACTAATCATTTAGCATTACTCTTGAATGTATGCCTCATCCAACCAGAAGAACACAGCATTAACTTAAAGCTTGTTGGGAAAAAAGGAAATAAGGAAATGGGCTAAGTGAAATTCAGTTAACTAGACCATCCTCAAGACCTTCAATAAAAAAGGGAGACAATTTAAGTTGTAATACATGTCTTTTCTAACTAATATTTACAGATATGATTTACCCACATTGTTGTCAATCATTAAAGAAATTAGTCAAAAAGTTTGAAATAAATGCCTCCTCCAAATCAATACTGCCGTCAAACAAATCTCAAATAAAACAACAAACATATGAAATACACAAATAGGAAAATGCTAATTAAGAAAATCTCAAATAGGAAATGCTAAAAATTTACTCAGTGTATCAGCATTCAATCTAGAAAACATGGTATTTAATATACAGTTGCTTTTGTTGCAATAAATAAAATAGCTGTTTCCACAAGGATGAAAATGCTCTTAACTCCTACACAGACAGTTTTTCCAAATCACATGAAAATTCATAATGGTAACTGAACTGAGTGGAGTGCAATTTGGGCTGAAATCATATGCAGGATTTCAAAATTGAATGAGCACACAGCGCGAGTTCAATTTGAAATCAAAAGTATGATTTCAGACCAAAATTGCACAACATGAGGTTAAATTACCACTTTATTATATCCATTTTGAAATCACCCAAATACAGGACTTGGTCAATTCAAATATTTTACTGATGCAGTACTGAGCCAGTTTTTAAATAAAAAGAGGAACCAGAAATGCTTTTACATCTTATTTTGTATGCAAAACAGAAAGACTTTGACGTCATGTGTCAAAAACTCAGTCAAGCATAAAATGATGCGATTTAGAGCAAAAAATGGTGCGATTCGAGAATAAATCACACCAATTAGAGTCAATCAGATTACAGGGACCACCAGTGATTTCAAAATGGATGTAAACAACTTACACATTTCACTCTCAAGATCTCATTAATGATTCTCCTTACTGTCTACTATACAATTCTTGAGGTTAGTTGGGAGAATTTGGCATTGGATCAGCTTATAATAATCTATTTTCTATTTCTCTTTATTCTCATTACTTGTCTGCTTGATATTGTATTGATATTGTAAGGAGAAATTCTGTCTTGATCACTCATGGGAGTCAAAGGGTTAAGATATTTTTAGCAAGCAAAGCTAGAGCAGCAAAGAGTACTTGATTTATATCAATATTCTCACCTCTCTCCATTGTGAACACCACCAACAACAATCTGATTCCACAGAGGATCAAAACGCGTGCGCCTGCATTGAAAATACAAAGACATCAAGTTGCGAATTTGTGATTGCAGGAATGTGTGCAAAAGATTGGGTTTCCCACATAATTGTCGGTGACATAAGATGTCATTTTACAATAAGTAAATACCTGTAATACATTATTCTTGTTAACCAGGAATATATGGACTTTGGAGTGTAACCATGGCCATCATTTAAACAGGCATCATCAATACTGAAAGATGACAAAGAAATGCTCATTTCTCTTGTGACCCAGCAAAAAAAGAATTCAATCATTTAGCAAATACAATATGAGAGAATTCTTAATTGTTCATCAACATCTCAACTGCTACTTCTCTCTGTCATCAGCCAAAAGAGCTAACAGATAATGAATCACAGTTAGTGGTTGTGATCTAAAGACAATTGACACTTATTGGATTCAGTTTTCACATAATAGTAATAATTATCAAGTCTGAAGTTTGTGTTATCTGCCAAATACAAGGGCTAAGGCAGCTAACACAAACTGAGGCCTTGATAATTATCACTATCATTTGAAAACTGAATTCAAAAATTGTTTATTAGGCATATTCCTGAGCTGCACTTGTAAAGACTAGAGCACATAAAACCATTGTCTGTAGGTGTGACATCACATTCATATATAAAATCTCTGTCTGTAGGTATGACATAAGAGAATGTATAACAATAACTACTAGTTTCTTTATTGTTTGATAAACTGGATGGAAAAAGATGTAAACTGTATATACTTTAGAAGTTTTATAAATGGCCATAAAGAGGGTTCAAGTGGATATTCAAATTTATTAAAAACTGGATCATTGGATAATGCAATTCAAGACTTTTTATTGGCTTAGCCATTATGGTATATGAGCCAATATACCATAATCTAATATCTGTATATTGTAACATCCCGTTTCTTTTTACAAAATAAAGTCGAGAAGATTTGTCTAATATCTTGGGGGCGTCTTTTTTTAATAGAACAATTATTCCACTCGTGCTTGTTGGATATGAGATGATTATAGCCAACTCGGAGCTACGAGCCTTGTTGGCTATCTATCATCTCATATCCAACATGCGCTCATGGAATAATTGTTTAGTAGATGTTGTAGTTCAATTTTATCCTCTAGTTTAATTTTTTCCAAACCAGTTCAATTTTTTTGGCCCAGTTTAATTTTTTTTTTAACCATTTTAATTTTACTGATTAAGGTTAGGATTAGGGTTAGGGTCAGGGATGGTACCAAATGCTTTTCCAGCCAGTCAAACAAACAATACCAGCATTGGTACTCAGTAATGGCTTTTTACTTCTTGAAACAAAATGATGAAATGACAGAACCTCGTAAGAAGTATTTCTTGACAAATTCTTTAAATAGATTAAATAGCTTTCTTGCACGCTGCAGAAAATGTTAGCTCAGTAGTGCAATCAAGTTCAATGTTCTGAGTGGCAGCTGTGCAAGGATTTAAACGGATGGGTGAAATTAATGTGTTTATTCTACCAAATTTGGTTACAACACGTGCGTAGGTGTTTACAATTTCTTCAATTTTTCCCAGAAGAAGATTTGAATGCAGAGGTGATGTTTTGTCAACATGGTCAATTTTTATAGAGACAATGTCTCCAACTTTAAATTTTCTAGGTTGGGTTTTTTTTTTGGCTTTGGGTTACCATTTCATTGTTGTACTTTTCCTGATTTTCAGTTATTTTTTGTTGTTTTCTTGGTTGTTCCTCATGATTTTCACAGTCTCTATGGCTTTTAATACCATAAACAGCCTCATATGGCATCATCTTTATTGCTCGATTGTAGCGTGTGTTTTTAGTATAAGCTGCTTCTAATGTTTTTTGACACCATTTCTGAACACTTGAGGAAGAGGTGCTCATTATTAAGTCTCTCCTATCCTCTTTCCAGGATCTATTTGATCTTTCAACCAAACCTTGAGTGGTTGGAGTTTGTGGAGAGCCATGAGCCAATTTAATGCCATTTTCTTCACAAAATGTTTCCATCCTTTTGTTAGCAAATTCTTTACCATTGTAGGTTAGGATTTTTTTTGGAAAGCCACAACCTCGTTCCCAGGGTCTCTCATCTTCCAGCCCCCTGGATCGAGCGAGGAGAGACCGGAAGACGAGAGACCCTGGGAACAAGGTTGTAGCATTTGAATCCAGTAAGTACTTCATCGGAACACTTGGCACTCAAAGGTGTTACGTACACATACTTAGTATGATGGTCAGATATGTTCAAGGCCCATGTGTGCTTTTTGGTACAATCACAAGGACAGTGATGGAAGTCCATTAAATCTATCTCTAAGAGAGATAGAAATGTTGGAGATTGAATAGGTTTATCAACAACCTTAACATGGATAGTAACCGGCTGCTGCTTGGCATGTATTGAACACAGACCAACAAATATGGCTACCACTTTCACATTGACTTCAGAATAGTTGTTACTGATCCATTTACAAGTTATTTGTCCACCCCGATGAGCAGTGTGATTGTGAGCAAGAGCCAACACATTGTGAATTTCCCTCTTAGGAACAACTTTTTTCTTGTTTTGCGTTATTATTGAGTTTTCTGAATACGCCCAATGCTTTCTTATGGCTGTTTATTTCTCCCACTTGGACAGCAAGGGTTCTTAGGATTGAATTCCAAGCCGAGTCTTGGCCTGATATTTGAGATAGGCTTTTGCTTTATCGAAGAATGAATCGTCGATAAAAAGTGTTATCTGCGATTCCTTTTTGGCCTGTTTGTTTTTAAAGGCATTCAACTGTTCATAAAATATGTATCTCGGTACACATGGTACATGAGCTTCAGTCATGTTTTGAGCTTGAAGTCCTGGTCTCTACCAAATGCACATGTTTTTTTCTTTATGAATATTTCAAGAACAAGTTTGGCAGAGGGGAGGGAGGTCTGGGGCTAATTACTGATAAGACCAACAAATATCCCAAGTTTGTCAACAACATGCACCGTGGTCTAATGGAGAGAATGGATGTCTGCAAAGCTAGAGGTTGGTGGTTCAAATCGTGGTAAGAGTAATATAAAAGAATAAAAGAAGTATTATATGAGTGAAAAGGAAGTAAATTAGGTGGGAAATATAAAAGATCCTGTGGGGTGGGGTAGATTATATTCTCAAGGAAAATTGTGTGGATGACAGGTTATAAGAGAGAATAAGTGGATGAGAAATCACAGGGAAATCTTCATCTTTCTTTTGATTCTTTTTCAGAACCCCCTCAAGACATGCCCTTATTTTCCATCCACACCCCAAAAAGAAAAGACCCTTTTTCAGAAAGTTGATAAAAAAACTAGTTAAAAAAAATTAAACTGGTTCAAAAAATTGAACTGGTTTGGAAAAAATTAAACCAGAGGATAAAATTGAACTACAACAGATACCAACTACAGTGTATGTGATACTGGTACCAGACTTACACTTTCTGATCCAAAAGTGATTTCAGATGCTGAAAATCAGCATAATCCCCAGAACCACCAACAACCGTGTTATTGCCAACAGCAGTGAGTCTTGAGACCTCTCGGAATCTTGCAAGAGATCCGTAAGACCCTAGAAGCACACAATATTGGTAGCACTATCATTTTAACTATTTCCTAACATGAAAATACTTATCATACACTTATATGTGATAGCCAAGCTAGATGGCCCGCTCGTGAACTGAGAAAAAAAATCATTATGTAAGTAAATGAGATTTCAAAAAATCACTGTAGTATAACCAACCTAAGGTGTCTGCTGCCATAAGAATTCCACCATCAAACTTCACACCAAGTACAGATGTACCAGTTGTAGTGGGGTACCTGAAAATTGAATTGAATAATTGTGACAAAATATCACGAAGCAAAGTCTTCTTCAAACCCAGAAAAATTAGAGAGTTCCCATAAAAGAAACGGAATATGTTATCGATCAGTGGGATTTATTACCATGCAAGCTTATCTGTAAAATTTACCACTTTGGTCAAAATCTTTCTCGATATAACGTTTGATAAAATGAAAAGCTATATCCCAATAGATATCCAAAGAAAAATTCATGCCTTTGAACCAGTTTCAACGAGTTCATTAAAAACCAACATCTCTCATCAAACACATGTACAATTTGTCACTGACCACTCTATAAACAGATATTTACTTACAAAGTTCTTTTAGCCGGTGAAAATTGTTCAGCTGTTTTAGAATTACTTGGATTGCCTGGTAAGTTATAAAATGCGCCTGGCGATGGACCATTGCTCCAAAACTGATCTTGAAATCCAGGGACATTCATTGCAGTCATTTTTCTCTTCTTTTTGCCTGAGTCATTCCCAGCATGCATTACAGTAAAAAGATGTTTTCTTCAGGGGTGGGTTAAGTTTTCTGTAAACAGTTAAATTTAAGACTCAGAAAAGAAAAAAGAGAGAAAAGAAAGAAAATATCGATGTTTTAGCTATCTTACAAGATAATTGATACTTTTTCTAAGAAGTTTATCGGGAGAGCTATGCTACCGAAAAGTTTTCAACGATTTATTGTGTGTCCCTTTTCCATATTTCTACCTACCCCTCCCTTTATCTCTTTGCTTTGTACCTTTTTTGCCGCTGATCTTTGCAGGCGCAAGCTCACTTGTATCCGTTCAAAATGGCGGATAAAGGAGAGAGTCTCGTCGTGGGCAGAGAAACCCGGCGAAATGCTGGAAACTTGATGTCGAAACTGATAGAAGATGAACAAGAAGTTGATGATTTTTACAAAACAGCTTTTGGAGGTTTTGAAGAAGAATCCGGGGATGAGAAGTATTCTACTGAGGAAGAAGAAGCGGACGTTGTTGACTCCGACTTTAGCGTCTCTGAGACAGATGAAGTGATAGAAGATCAGGCAGATGACGAACCAGTAAAAAAGCGAAAAAAGCTGGTAATCAAACCGTATAAGGCTCCGAAGAAAGATACAGGTCCTTCAACTGCTACTAAAGAGCCAGAAGCGAAAAAACGGAAAAGTTTCGAGGACGCTCCTCGAGAAGGCGTGAGAAAATCAACTAGGGCGCTTACTGTTGAACGCGCCGAAGCAACGAAGAATCGTTTCAAACTTGAGAAGGAGAAAAAGAACTTGCTTAAAAAGAAGCAGCCGAAAAAGTTTCTCGACATGAGGCGCCTTACTCAAGAAGAACTTTTGGCAGAGGCGAAAATAACGGAAGAGGAGAACGTGGCTTCGCTGCAAGCTTATCAACAATTGGAGGCCGATAAAAAGAAAACAAAAATCCAGAAGGTTGCATTGAAGGGACCCATTATCCGCTTCCACTCTCTGTCCATGCCAGTCGTAGAAGTTTCAGAGCCTCTGGTGAAGGTTGATGACAATGAAGATGAGGAAGTGAATGTAGATTCAACAAAGAGGTGTTGCAGGAATTTTTTGATTTTCACAGACGCAAAGAATTTTCCCTCTGCATATTTTCCTACCAAAAAACTTAAAGTTCCACACAAGACGTACTGTCCAGTCACAGGGTCACCAGCTCGATATCAAGACCCTGTCACAGGTTTGCCATTTGCAAATGCACAGGCTTTTAGATACATAAGAGAGAGATATGCAATGCAAGTAGAGGAAATGAAAGGAAAGACTTCTGAACTCGAACAAAGAAGAGCGAGAAAGTTGTAGGATCAGTAACTGCCTATCTTAAACTATATGAAACTGAGAAGTATATTGGGAACGGTTAAACCAGGTCATGTGGCCCCTGAAACATATTCTGTAACAGTTATGTATCTGTGAATTATTTAATTATTCAATGTATGTATCATTGCAGGTATTGAATTTTTGGATCTACAAGCATTTTCCTTTCTGGTTTTGTTAATGGTAGATTTACATGATCTCACTCCAAATTTATAACAATGCAAGCTGAACATTCCTTCCTGTGATATCACTGTAATATAGAGAGTTTTTGTGTACAAAGATGGGAGATTGTGCAATCTTATGATATCCAAGGTACAGGGCTCGACACTAACAGTAGCCCACTAGCCACAGACTAGTAGAAATTCAGTTTTGGCTACTGGTTTTCAGTTTCCACTAGCCAGTTTGGCTAGTAAACAGAGTGAAATCGTCATTACACCTAAAAACATATAAGATGTCACTAGCAACTTGGTGAGTAAGTTGAAAAGTTAGTGTCGAGCCCTGAAGGTAGCTGTATTCTTTAGAATTACAGTGAGTTATGCATGTGAGAATGCACATTTGAGCTCTGTCTGAAGCGACAGCTTACAAATTCAAGTTTTCAAAATGATTTCATGATCTACATCTATTAGGGATTGCTTCTATTGGTTTGAATTCAATGCTGTCTTCTTGATTTCTCAAAAAGAATATGCACATCACCATTCATTAACATGAATAGTTAACCATACATTAACATGTCCATCCATTGGTAATGTGATTCAACTCAGCCATAAAATATTTTACTAGTCAAATTATTTTTTGTTTTTGATATTGTTATTAAAGGTGTTAGCCACTGTCATTTTTACAAGTTAAAGTATTATCTTGTATAAACTTATATATAAATCCATTAAAAATGTTTAATTAATTGTAAGCACTGTTTACTGTTTTAATATTGGGAATCAGGAAGCCAAATTTAATTTCCAAAAATATTGAAATATTCAAACATCTGTACTTAAAACTGTGCTTTTTCTTTCTTGAATGATGTAATAGGCCAACACTCAAATGTAATTTAAACTTGGGGGTTCTTTACTGGAAAAGCGTCCATCAAACCGCTAATTTTCGTAAGGGGAAAAATAGGTAGCCCACACAAAAAAATCAACTTAAAGATATCAGCAATGAAAATTCACACCAGAAATATAAAAAATGTAATCTTTTATTAAAAACTACAATACCAAGATAAAATTACATATTTTTTATGTAACAACCTAAACTGTTGATTTTCTGAGTTGCCAGCGTCTATTTCTGTCCAATGTTTAATAATGTGTATTTGTTTTTTATTTTTATTTAACTGTTAACCGACCCTCTCTCCTTAGCCAATTCTTAATATAGCGCGCTGTGAGAGCTCCAATTCTCCCTTCCCCACCCGTCTAGATGTGAACCAAAGTTTGTAGATTTTTTACCCATGAAAGGAAAATGGATGAAGCACTTACACACGATCAAACTTCTTGTGAAAATAAATCATGATAAAAAGTCTTCTATTGTGGTCCAACGTTTGTTTTGTTCACTTTTTCTCTCTTTCTTAGTTGTGCAATGTCTTTAAAAAACAATCTAACAAAGATGATTAACTTAAAAGATTTTCCCTGGGAAGTTCTGCTGCAAGAACGGACTTAAAATAGCCGACGAAGCTTTTGCACGGGCGAATACCGATCACGAGCTTTTGATAAGCTCATAATTTAAGGCATTCACAGTATTCCTGCTTAAGAAGCGATAGAAAAATCTTCATGATGCAAAAGGCGTTGTAACCAGCGTTTTGAAGTCTGCGAATTTCACACGGAATTTCCAGCTTAATCAGAATGTCTTCTATGCTGTTGTTTTTTCGAGAGTCAGGAAAAAAAACAGAATAGAGAGTGAGTGTATCAATAATTTCCTTGTGTTCTTCGTGAAGGCCTTGAGACTTGAGGAAGCTACGAATATCTTCTGTAGATGTTGAATGGGTCATCAAAAAATCAACCTTCGAAATGTGCACTTGCAGCTTGGTTATTATATCAGTTAGTCTTGCAACCTCTGCATTGCGAAATAAAGAGGTGTCGTAGTTCTCTAACTGCGTATTATTGTTTAACAAAGATATATTTTCCTTCACTAAGAATAGATGACTGTTTTCACCGTCCTGCTCACTTTCCAACGAAAACACTACGTACCCAATTTGCAAGATTTTTGTGTAGTCTTGCTCAAAAAATTTGACGTTGAAAGCTAAAAATAAGGGTGGTTTCTGGTCAATAGTTTCATTTATCCTTTGAAGTGAATGCACTCCGTTGATGTGCCTTTGACGAGCAATGGAACGATTTTTCTGTCGCAACTGGTCATTGAAGATGACGAAATCTTTCAAGGTTTTAAAGACTCGCATTATTTGCGGTGTTTTCCTGGATAATTTAACTGGTTCAACATCAGGCAAATTTTTTGTCATCTCTGCTGCTTTTTCCATCTTTTCTTTAAATAATTCATACCCTTTGAAATCCAGGAAAATTCCAGCGTTGTGATCGAGACCGTAGGCTACCACAAAAATCATTTCTTTCAAATGGCGATCGAAAGAATGATTGAAATAATACTTAATTCGTTCGTAGCAGTTTTTCCCTTGTTCGCGACTAGCTCGTGTCCAGGTCTCTCTCAACGTCTCAAAATTGTACATGTAGTCCGGGCAGTTCTTGCACACCATAGAACATGGTAACGTACATCTGTCTTCTAATCGATGCTTAAATTCGCTCATGTTTTTGATGCGGACCCAGCATACTGTACTTTCATCAGAAACAATCTACATGTCATTTGCATTGAACCTGCAACATGAGATCATTACGTAATTAAATTTCTCGAAATAATTGAAAACAAACTATCTTAACATTGCTAATTTTTGCCTGCAAGTAATTTCGTAAAATTAATTTTGTTTATTCTGAACATGAAGTGACATATTTCGAAAGACTTGATTTCTGCGATTTTGAAGGAAAATTGGTCAAGATTATCCAAATTTCGAAGATTCACATCTTCATTGGAAGTGCAATATCCAACTTTGCCGTGAAAAAATTTCAAATCACAGAAGTTCTACAGCTAAGAACGGAACCAATGTTGTGCATATTCGTCTTTTTTACGGACCAAGCACTACAATATGAAGCAAGAAGACGTCCTTTACAGTCACAATACGGATATTCCGACTTGAAACTTTTACAAAGATGGTTCTCTCGGCTGGCATTGATAAGGCGATGAAATGAACAGCATGATCGTTTTTGACAACTGTACGTCTAAAGTCCGAAAACGTTTTCTAATTTTTTTGGTAATTCTTTTTAATGGACTTGGAGATCGTAAACATTATGCAATTGAAGTCCTGCCAATATAACTTAAAATATCGCACAAGCTGCTATCATCAGCAAGATTATGAACTGGAGATATCTAAGTCTGTAAAGACTTTGTTGAAACTTGGAAATATCATAAATGCATGCTGGGAAAATTCTTGACTTGACTTAACTATTATGAAATATCAGTGAAATTTATACCAAGGGCTCTACAATGCCTGGTTTCAGTTCAGAAGAAAGCAAAACTGAGGAAGCCTCAGCCCAGAGCAGCTTACCGCAACTGGAACTCTTGTTTGTGCACAAGCTAAGTAGATTGTGTTCAGCATAAATATGGAATTGCTCTGGGCCGGGTTGTTCAAAGATGGGTTTAGATAACCCAGGGTTAGCATGAATTTTGATTTCAGATCTGAAATTAAAGCTTTAGAAGAAAATTAAGTTTAATTATTTTTATCTAAAATTTAATGATTGGATGCTCTAAAGAGAACAAGGGAAAATTATCCCAAGAAGGCTCTTGAATCGAGAAACAAAGAAACCTGGATTAAAATTTAACCCCGGGTTAGTGCTAATCGGCCTTCGAACGATAACTAAAAACTGGCTTGCCATGGGGCTATGAGATTGATTGCGCACTTGCGGGACGACATCATTCTGCAGGATTCGGTTCTTTACATCTCAGGGTTTTTTTTTATCACACTAAGAAAAAAGAGATTGATCGCACACTCGCGGTGCTACATCATTTTGCTGGATCGATATTTTAAATCTCAGGGTTTTTCTTTTTTATCACGCCAGGGAAAATAACCCAGCTATCTATGAGATTGATGGCACACTTGCGGCACGACATCATTTTGCAGGATCGATTTTTTAAATCTCAGGGTTTTTTTATCACACCAGGGAAAATATATAGCCCTGCTATCTATGAGATTGATCGCACACTTGCAGTGCGACATCATTTTGCAGGATCTAAGTGAATTGGAAACCTGAAGTTATTTTACCTTCATCTCCACAAGCAGATATTCTAAACGTGTTTTGAGATGTTTAAAATCACCTCGAAAATGAAGAAAACCGAAAATGCAATAGGTTAGCAGTTGGAACTGAAAAGAGAATCGAAAATTAACATAAAATTGATAAATTCAAAAAGGAGCAAATGGCGAAAAAAAAAACCGATCTAATACTACGAGGTCGAAAAATTTGGGCATAAGTTTCAAGATTCGAGAACCGATTTAGAAGAACTCGTGTTTATCAGTCCCTTAATTCAAAATTTAGATTTACTTATTTGATCTTCAACCTGCGTGTCACAAACAACCGGCATACAAGAGTCTCTGAAGGAGAGCCCCAGAGTTAGGGGCGCTCCGCAGTCGTTTATCATCAAACAAGAATCAAGAAACCAAATATAGATTTGATAAGGTCCTGTTTGGAGTGATTGATCTCCATCAAGATCTTACAGTGTGTAGTCAGTTGCACTGTTGTCTTTAATGAAATCGCAATACATAATTAGCTGTCAGTGGCAAACAATAAAGCAAAATCTGTACAGGAATATTTTTCACGCATGCAAGGCTGCATAGTCTATGTACAGCGCTTATAGCGAATAACGCAAGTGGCATCTTGTTATCAGTTCGATTGCCTCTTTTCAAGACTCTCAATTCTTCCTATGTAAGCATTTCTTCATCAGACAGGATTGTGGTAAGCACAAATCAAAACAGATAAACCCTGTCCTTGGATCTCAGAGATTGTTTTCCTTTCCATGATTCCTGTAGTTTATCATGATTTTGGTCATATTGTAGTTTACTTTGTCCAAAAGGGAAATGTTTATGGACTACACTTACCTTAAGCTGTCTCGGCTGAGTTTTACAACGTTATACTAGCAACTGATCTTAGCCTGTCAGTTGGAGAAACAAACGAAACCACACAATTATGCATATTCGGAGTCAATTCGCGGTAACGTTGTTTTAAACACAATCAAATTCATTTGACCTTCAAAGCCCTTTTGTAATTTTTATCTCAGCGTTTCCTTTGTTCCCACTGAAGATTTCTTTGTGGTGGTATGATATAAAGTGATCGAAAAACAGCGGTAGACAACCGCAGGAAGGAGTCCTATAATTGAAATTAGAAAATGTAGAAAAAAAGAATTGAACATGTGACAAAGCCAAGAGTAATTCTTGTAGAGTCTGGTTAGGATTACCTGGCAACTGTCAAAAGCTACAACGTTAATTATTTTTCCATTCGCGAGAAGAGGAAGAAAAACAAAAGACTAACAGAACTAGCAAATTTCGCTTTTCTTTTTATCATCAGCGAAACTAGCGACCACTGAAATTTGTAAATTGGCTATAAAAGACATCAAAGCACCGAGGTGCGGAATTTTGATATTTGGTAATCCGTACAGGGAAAATAATAATAACAGTGAAAAAGAGATCTTCATGAATTAGCTTGAATTGTCTTAAATAAATTTCACTAAAATGACGATAGTCTTTTTTAATGCTGCGGATAGTGCTCTCACCGAGAATGGAGTTACCCGTAAAGGACATAATATATCTTAGAGCTTGTATATATCTTAAAAATTGTGCTCTTAAACTACGATTTTATAGACTTTACATATCTTATTGTAATTATGACGTCATAAGCTAATAACACATAGTCGAGAGATCACGAGTTGCAACTAAGAACTGCACACTTTTAAAAATGTGATACACATCCACCAGCAATGTGACATTCAGAATCTTAAATTCGTTTCATAGTCCAAAAACTCTGCATTAACCGCCATAAGAATAGCTTGCAATGAAAAACGATAATGATTATGAATAACTAAACTCCTATTTTTTCGGTGACGGGCAAAAACTGTTTTTAAATCATTCTGATCTAGTGTGAATATAACGAAGTCAGATGACATCCTTAATTAAGTTGAACTTCCTCTGTAAAAAGTTTATTTTTAGTGGAAAAATTGATACATTAAGTGGAAAGCAAATTCCTTTTATTTGCTATCTTTTCTTACTATCAAGCTAGGGTCACGGGCAGACATAAAACATCTTTGCAATTCTGTCAGTCGGTAACCTGACTACAAAAATATATTTGATTTATTGTATACCTTACAATGATGGAAAATTGACGTGCTTTTATAAAGCTGTTAAAAAAAATAAAAGAAGAAGGACCAATAGTACACAACGAAATAAGTTTGCTTTCGCAGTTGCATGAACAAAAACTGAAGATAAAAGCTTTAACGCTTAAGGTCTAATGTTTTCATTTTGATTAATTCGACGTTGTCGATGGTGATTTTGCTTAGTTTTTCTTCTGTTCGTTAAGACAGCTGTTCTTATTTTTAAATTTCAATAACAATTTGTTCTCGTAGCTGAATTCATTATTCAAAGTTAGCATAATAATAGAAGCAACTGAGAGCAGATGACTTAATAAAATGGGGTTTTAAAATGATACACTTATCATCGATATTCATCGTAAAGATTTTGTCGTTGCCAAATTAGTCTAATATACTATAAACAGAGACGAAACAAAATTGCTTTGCTCGAATAGTTTTGCTGTCAGATTTTCTTATAAAAGAAAAGTATTGTACTTCGTTTTTTTCGAAATTTAGGCAATACGTGGATTCAACCATGCATTAATTATTTCCGTAATTTTTAGATACATTTCTTAATTAATCGAAATGTGTGGTCATTCTGAGACTTAAGACAAGCATAAACTTGGGAATATGTTCCTAAACAGTATTGCACTTAAGTTTGATCGACAAATCGAATTCTATGATTTTATTCTGTTATTTATACACCAGTATCTTTTAGGCTGCGCCTTATTGAAGTACCGTTTTGACGCCTAGATTTGAGTGTTAAGTGGCGTTTACAAGCACATCTTGACAACTATAAACGACTTCAATCTCCAAAACAAGGCATGTCATCATGTTAGGTTAGGTTGGTCGGATAAGAATGCATAGAACAGTCTACTACTTAGTCAAAACATTGCACCAGACCAATAAAGAAGACGTTAATCCTAGTACCAGCTGTCAGTACAGTTATACTATGTATACGACATGCGGGTCCGCATAAAGTTATCGCCAACCAGTTCAATAAATTGAAAAGAATACCTGAGAAGAAATTTTTCAGTTCTAAAAGATTCTTCCTTGCAGCCTAAGGAACCGACAAGTCACTGTTAAAAAAGCACTAATCATAACAGCCAACTCCCGGTGTTAAACTTTAATTTACCAGTGAAATTGCGGTACAGAGTATAAACATTATGCATCAAAATAAAACCACTGGCCAGAGTTTAAGAAGATATTCCACGATACACTTTTTACGACAAAAACGTAATTGTTACTTACTTGCCAAAGAAATCTCTCTAACTAAGCTTGCGAATGCCCATTTTTACTCCGAAACGAAACGTAGGTTGTACATGTTTTCTCCACGAGCTACCACTAATTATTAAAATAAAAAAGGCTTTCAGCTCAGTTAAAGTAGCTTAGCATTTAAAATGCAAATGATAAATCTATGTTTATAATAGTGGCATCAAGAATTTCCTTGGAAGTAGGACTGATCATGATATATTGTAAGAAAGTTTGTAGACCGCCGAAATAAAAGGTAAAAATAGAACATGCCGCTCGAATAATTTTATTAAATGGGTCACCGTGATCCATTTAATAAAATTAGAAAAACTTGAAATATTGCATGAACTATTTTCTGACTGTTGGGGAAGTGACCTGATATTCTTGATTTGCATACTCATCTGTGTAGCAAACAGTTTATTTTTGGGAAGGTCTCATCTAAACGGTTAGCCCCAAACCCGTAAAATGTTACGAAATATAAAAAAATCAAACTGCAACAGCATAAAAAAAATTTCGACAACCAACGGATCCATTTCACCGCCACACAAAGTTACGATAATAATTTATGACAACTGTTTTGAAACAGTTAGGGAAGGTACGTTTTTTTATTGGGG